GGATGCCTTCATGATTTCTTTCTAGCTTTCTCTAAAAATGAAGTAAAACATCTCCATGATGCCCGAGACATATCAACTTCAAGGTCATGGATTGAAATGATGATAACTTAGATTATAGGACTGTCAACTTTCAAGGCCCCATGATAAGTGATGCATCAAGGGGCTGGGATCAGATCAAGCGAGCTTCAAACAACTGCAGGCTGCTAGAGCGTTTAATCTGTTGATTGATTGCCATATATTCCAATTAACCAAAGTAGTCTTCTTCCAAACGCTTTGAGGATGCTGTAGTAAGATCCCTGCATCAGGTGAGAGTGGATCTGTTTACCAGATGCTCTCTTCTGCCTGGGATCCTTGCTCCTGCAAGACAGCAATCTGTTCCAAGAATGATGTTTAACCATGGTGTTGTGCTAGGCACCAGGGATTGGAAGACGAAGAAACATTCCCTGCCCTCCCAGAGCTGCAGCCCAGCAGCTCCACCCATAAGGACAGCGCAATGGGATATGCTGCAGCACAGGCAGAGGCAAAGCGCTGTGGAGACCCCAAGGCCAGATGCAGGAGCTCTGCCTGGCTGAGTTAGAAAGGTTCTCCAGAGTCTGATACAGGTGTCAAGGGGTGAGCAGGAATTTATCTTGTGAAGAGGAGGAGGCTGGAGAAATAGCTCCTAAAAAGATACCTAAGGGTGAGATGTGCCCCAAAAGTGACCCCAGAGGTGATAGAGAGGCTGTAGCAGGAGGTAGATCTGGAGACAGAACTCTGGTGGGGTTACCGGAGCAGGACGATCTATCTGCTTTGGGGAATATACTGTGTTAGTTTTCTATTGCTGCATAGAAATGGGGGAATACACTGTGTTAGTTTTCTACTGCTGCATAGCAAATTACCCCAAAACAGAGAAGCTTAAAACAATCAACATGTGTTATCTTATAGTTTCCATGGGTCAGGAATCCAGCTGTAGCTTAGCAGTCCTCTGGCTCAGGATCTCACAGGCTGTAATCAAGGTGTCAGCCAGGAACAAAGTCAATTCAAGGTTCTACCAAGGGAAGATGACCTTTCAGGTTCACTCCTGTGGCTGCTGGCTGGAGATATCAGTTCCTTGACACATGGGTTTCTCCATAGGGCAGGTCACAACATGGCAGCTGGCTAGAAAGAGAGACTTTTTGTAACTCAATCTTGGAAGTGGCATCCCATCAGTTTTGCTGTATTCAATTTGTTTAAAGCCAAGCACCAGGTCCATCCAGCCTACGTTGAAAGAGAGGTTACACGAGACAGTGAATATCAGGAAGTGATGATTACCAGGGGCCATTGTAGAGGCTGCCTCCACATATACCAAGAGCTATTTATGGCCTCATCGCAGCATTATCCCACTCTGCATAAATTATACAGAAAGACATATAATTTTATTGCATATTAGTTTTTGTTGATGGGTACATTCTGGTCCTTAGGAGCCCTGAAGAACAATGTGTTTCATTTCACAGCTCTCCCTAAGGATTTTATACAACCCACTTGGCACTCACACTGTTATTATTAAATGGATTCAGCCAAAAGCTGCCTGTTGGGGTAGAGATCAGTGGGAAGGTAGGGTGGCAGAGAAAGGAAGTGATCAGGACTCCAAACTGAATAAAGAAAAAGGTCACACGCCAACTGCAAGTTAGAAATGAGTCTGAGTGGAAGTAAGTATCCTGGTTGACAGCTCACACACGATGCCAACTTGCCACAGCTTGGCAGCGCCTTTGGTTTTCCCACATGCAACTGAAAATAGCTAGCATTCATCCTGAGGGAGTGCTACTAAAATAAGTAACTACTTGGAGCTATACCTCGCTGCTCATTCAAGTTGGAAGCAGTCTGCAATTATTTTGCTGAAATTAGATACAAATTAAGTTGCCACTTCCGGAACTCTTTCTTCTGTACTATATTACAAAAAAGAAACTGATTTTTGAACTCGGACAGCTTAGATGCTACTTCTTAAAAATAAATCTGATCTCTGACAGAATATCTAAAAAGACGGATTCTTGATTTTAATCCCTCATGAGACCTAACCTCTTCACGACCCAGGTTTCCTGATTTTCAGACCCGAGTCGAGTTGCTATGGATACAGAGTGACAGGCCAGTAAAGGAAATGAAGGACGGGGAGTGGCCTGCCCACAGGTGAGATATACTGTCTTTAAACTTGTTGGGGATAGAGAAGGGGGTTAGCCTGGAATTGTCCTCTGGGATGTAAGGGAATGGTCCTGCTCCCACTTTTAAAATAGTGGTTTGAAAGTTTTCTCAGGGTATGCATCCATTTGGACATAGAAGTTCTGCTATGTTTTAAAAAGCAAAACCGAATAAACAAACATATATGAAAACAAAGCATAATAACAATGGTTTGGATCTTTCCTCAAACTTGACTGGAAGTTACTGGCACACAAATAGTAGAGGTGTATGGGGGTTTTCTGCTATGAAAGAGCCCCTGATTTGCACTACCTCAATGAAGCAGCACCTTCTTTTGACCTGCCTTTGGAAGAAGTAGGTGAATTTCTAAGAGCCCAGCTGTGCTGGACCCTAGGAGGCTGTCAGGCTGTCATAGCTCCCAGGGTAGGAATGTTTCTCCACAACTTTGAATTCCAATTTCCCTTTGCAAAAGGCAAAATTTGTTTTATTCCCATTGTTGGAGACATTAGTCATGGATGAAACACATTTAAAACTCCCCCTACCCCCTACTTCTCGCCCACCCCACACATTCCCACTCTATATCCTCATTCCAATCTAGTGAATCTTAGAAATGACACATTGAATGAAGAGTTTTCCAGGTAACCTTTCCTTCTTGGTGAACTTTTATTTTTGTAGGGTTTTGGGGTGTGTGTGTGCGTGTGTAGTTCCATAATTCTCAAATGAAAAATTGCTAAAAGGTCATCTAAGCAAATCCTTAAGATAGTGAATCTCTACAACATCACTTTAATTTTAGGAGATATTTCATTTCATGCCTTAAATTTTTCAATGATTTTCAGTGTCTCCTTATCCAGACTTCTTAGGACTTGGAAAGAAAATGAAATGACGTTGAAATCAAAGTAAATTGAGTGATCTGAAATGGACTGATGTCAGCAAGAATTCAGCATACAGCTCACAGCCCTCCCCCAGCACATCTCCCTCTTGGGTATGGTTAGTTCAGCTCCAAATTTATTCTGACAAGAAAGCACAGGCAAGGCTCCAGTTGGTCTAAATCAGGTGAATATGCAAAGCAACCACCCTTCCTGGACAGCCTTCTGCTTTCCCAGTGCTTGTCATGGCCTGAAAATTCCTGTTTGAAGAAGCAGAACTTTATTTTGAGTCCTCACAGGACAAAGTCACACTCGACAGTGCACAGGCACAAGTCGGGATCCAGAATGCATTTTTGGCAGAAAGACTCCTCTTTTCTCTGTCTTCTCCAACTCTCCGTGGGCCTAAACCTTTCAGAAGCCATTCCATGTTCCCTGAACAGGAAAAGACAAACTCAGACCCACAACCTTGGACTTCAAAAGAAGGCACACAAGGGGAGGAAGGACAGAGTACCAAAGCGTGAAAATTCAGAATGCTGCTATCTCATTTATTTTAACCATTTAGGAAACGTTTTTATCCGCTTCCTTTTCCCTTCCCTGATTTCAAAAAATAAAATAATAATTTAAAAAAATGATTCGGTTCTGAGGAGAGACTCTCCAGATGGAAGGGGAAGAAGATCAGGAGATGAATGGGGGAGGGCTGATTGCGTCCTTTCCCCTGCCACACACACGCTCCCGGTTTCAGCCTGTGTAAAAATAGCTGCCCAGGTTTTTGTATTCATCCCTAAGCGGCAATGAAGCGCCCGCTTCCCGGCAGAGTCCGCAGCCTCTTAGTAGCTTATAACATCAGGTGACGCCTCCAGCTCTCCCGTTCCCCGCCCCAGCCCGGATAAACGTCCTCCGTGACCTTAGAAGTTTTCAGTTTAATCAGCGGTATCGTTTTTGAGAGGAAAATCCTCCCGGCTTTGCGGGCTGGCAGGGCTCTGGGGCCCTCCCCTGCCTCCCAGCCCAGGCCGCAGAGCGAGAGCGTTTCCAGCTGTGCTGGAAGCGGGAAGGAGCCTCTCTGTGCTGCCCGGCACGTCCAGCGCGCGGGCGGGAGCATGCTCTCCCGTGGCGGGCAGCTTTCCAGGGGTCTTGCCTAACGAGGGCCAGGCGGTTCCCCCGTCGGCCCCGAGTGGCTCCTGGCAAGCCGACCCCCATCCCAGTTGGGAGCACTGATTTGCCGGGGTCGGGGGAGGCAGCAGCGCCCGCCTGGCGCGAGGGGATCCAGCGGTCAGACGCCGAGGGCCTGCGCGTGCGCAGAAAAGAGCTGCCTCCGCGCCAGGCTGGGGCGCGAGGGCGGAGGGCGGAGGGTGGAGGGCGAGGGCGCATGCGTCAGCCGTGCAGCTGGCGCCGCGTGGGAGAGCTGAACTGCTGGGTCCTGCGGTCAGTGCCGTTTCTTGGCGGCACGTTGGGGACACTGCTCCATTAGAAGAGACAGAATGTTAAAGGCACAGCCTCCTTCGAGGGCATCTGCATAATGCGTCCCGTTTGCAGATGAGGAAGTTGAGGCCCAAAGAGGTGATGGGAAAGGTCCAAAGCTGCATTTCTGGATTCTGGCAGCTGGGACCAGATCCTGCTCTTATTGGTATGGTTTAAGCACTTCTTCAATGAGCACTTATCAAACGCCTGGATACTGTGTACTCAGTGTCTGAGTGGCAGTGAAAGATAACCACAAATACGTCAGAAGCAGTTGTAGCCACTGCTGCCCTGGACTCGGGCATAGAATCGGACCTGGGTTTGATTTGATGATTTGCAGGACCACACTACTGGTTGGATAGCCTTAGTGAAGCAGTTAACGGCTCCATGCCCTAGTTTTCTGGTCTGCAAAACCGAGATAAAAATAGGCGAGGGTGGTGGGATTTAAATGAGATAAGGTGCACATTGCTAAGCACAGTGGCTGCACATGGAAGGCACTCAAATAAATATTCGTGCAATGTTTTGAGAAGTAGAAAGTGCCAGGCACGTAGGAGTTCAGGAGACAGTCACGGTACTCCTTTACAGACAGAAGTCATGCGGAACAAGAGGGACGGTGCTTTCCCGTGTACCGTGCTTGGGGATACTCACACAGACAGTTACAGCATGTGGCATGGCAGGGAAAGGAGGAAATGACTTCTGTTAATCATTCCTTCAGCTTCTCCCGCCCTTCCTGTGCACCCTGTCTGTTTCCCTTTCCAATTCTCACTGTGACTCAAGGTGGGTGGCTGCAGAGAGATATTGGGACCTCTTATCAGGAAAAATATGTTCTGTAAGGTGGCATAATTTATGTTTTAAGTCGATCTTTATTATAGCGGCCGCCCTCCTCTTTACCTAGGTGGGATAGGCACAGGAAAAAGGAATGGGGTTAAGTGGATAAGTGACTAAGGTGTCAAATTGGAGTTGTGTGGATCATAGATCTCAGAGCTGAAGATCATCTGGATGGACTCCCTCGTTAATGAAGAAGCAGTGAGAAACTGTGAAAGGCAAAATGACATCAAGTTTCAGATTCAAGTTGGAGCCATAGTGCTCTATATCACCATAGTTCATTCATCCACTCACACACACTACTCTGGGTGGATACCTAATATACTGCCAGGTAAAAGGTTCTGCCTCAATAGGCAGCAAAAAGGGAAAGGAAATAGAAATCTGGGAAGATTCTCAGGTTCTTTGTGCAGCTTCATGAATGTTGATACCATTTACTGTGATTGCAAGTAGAAGGATAGAAATTGATCTGAGAGGAAGATGGCATGTTTTGAACATGTGTTTCATGTGCCTGTAGTGAAGACCTCCAGGTGAAGACCTCCAGGAAGAATTAGGAACATGAGTTCCAAGCACAGGAGAGAGGCCTGGAGGTGCCCACTGGGGAACAGTCAACATAAAGATGGTCACTAAAGCCAGGGCTGCGAGGACATCGTGAGGGTAATATCCATGGACCAGGATTATCACTTTGAGTGCTACCACTGTGAGGACTGCCGGATGCAGCTGAGTGGCGAGGAAGGCTGCTGCTGTTTCCCTCTGGATGGGCACTTGCTCTGCCATGGCTGCCACATGCAGCGGCTTGTAAGCATGTCCTTTGATATATTACGCACGTTTTGACTGTATGTGCTATGTATGATTAAGCATGTGTAGTACTATGTATTATTCATGGGGATAAACATTAATGTACTAATTACATAGGGGTGGAGTAATCGTGTATGCTTTTAGAGTACTTTACGGTTATGCCATCAAATAATATATATATTAATTTACTAGTAGTTCAGGGAGTAGTTTAATATAGAATTTCAGCTTTGGGTGTTGATGGTAGAATTGAATATTCTTTCCCTGATTGTCCTGGGGAGTTGGTACGCCTCCTTTTCCAGTCCAGAAGAGCAGGCGGAATGAGAAGATTATGAAAGCATGAAACCCAAACCCTGACAGACACCAGCTCCTAAAGATCAAATAAGAGATCCCGAGGAACAGATGGAGAAATGGAAAGAAAACCAGAAAAAAGTGGCATCAAGCAGTTCACATCAAGACTCTCCACGTTGAAGAAGTGGTCCGGAGTGGGAAATGCCACAGAGATGTCAAGCAAATGAGCACTGGAATGTTTCCATTGTGTTTGACAATGAGGAAGTCATTGATTACTTGTGAGACATTGGTTTTAGTGGGGATGTGAGGACAGAAACCAAATCACACTAGGTTAGATGCAAAATGGAGGCAATGAAGAGGAGAAGAGGTAGTAGGGGGTAGTAGGTATAAATCACTGCTTCAAGAGAGTTGGTTGGGCAGGAAGGGGGAAGTTTCAGTTAAAAGAGGAGGCAGGGAGAGGTTTTTTTTTAAATCATTGTTTTGTTTCATTTGTTTTGTTTTGTTTTTGCAACTATGGGAAACAGACATGCTTATAGGAAAAGAGAAACAGGAGGGTCAGCAAGGTGAAGTAAGTTGGAGCCTCAGTACAATATCCAGAACTACCACAGGGTGAGTGACAGGAGAGGGGATTCTGGGCCCAGATAATCCAAAGGAAGGAATCCTCTTCCTTGGTTCTTTTTTCCTACCATTGGAAAGGAAGAAACGTACATGGGAGGTTTAGAAATGGACTTGGGATGCTCCTTAAGCAAGATTTGTCTGTGTCAGGATCTACCCTGGCAGTAATCCTACCATCAAATGCATTTAATGAGCCTCATTTGCATGTGGAGCTGTGTCCAGTGCTATTCAATTAATGTGAAATGGATACTGTTATTACCATGTCAGTCAGGACTAAGAGTAACAAGTGACTGAAACCCAGCTCTAACCATGGGATCCATGGGTTTACTAAACTGAGTAGACTGGCTTTAGGCCCAGTTAAATTTCAGGTGCTTTAAAGCTATTGTCATGCATAATGCTTTAAAATTATCAGTGTACTTTTCTCTTTTGCCTTTCAAAGCATATGAACTTAGTCTACTCAAGGCATTTATCTGCCTAGGAAGAGATGAAAGTTCTTTCCAGAAAGTATGCAGAGAAAGAAAACATAACACTCAGTTTCTGGCATTCAAAAACAAATTTTGCAGCAAGGCAACAACCATGTAATTCAAGCTATTACCTTGAGAAAATATCCTGTACCTTCCATTACTTTCCTCTTCAGAGGGTCAAGAACTGAGCTTGGTAGACTAAACCTTAGGGTATTATATTCAGAAGGTCTAGACCAGGAGAAAGTAGGGATTATCAGAGGACAGAAGCAGTAGAATAAGACAAGAGGCCTGAGTGGAAAGATTGTATTGGAAACGTAGATTAACCACAAGGGCAGAGTGAGCTCTTTCCCCTACGTCTCCTCCAGAATTATGAGATGAAGAGCTCAGTGTTGGTGGGACAGCAGGAGGCCCTGCTATGGACTTTTCAGGCTGTGCCAGGTCCCTAAGAAGCGTAGACTCTACCCAGACATAGCAACAAGCCTGTAGCCAGCTTGCCAGAGGTGATCATTGTAGTGAGGTGACTCAGTGGTGTGGGCTGCCAAGGAGACCCCTGGGACCAGGGTTGATAGGAAGTCATGGACAGAAGTCAGAGTCTGTAGCAGCAGGAAGAGTGGAGAAGAAGCTAAGCCAGTCAGGGAACAGCTTTGGGAGCACTGCCTCAGATTGCTCCAGATGAACCACAGTCTCCCCATCCACAGACCCCCATATCAGAGGCTTGCAGTGTACCCAGGACAGAAAAAAAGTGGATGTTGTCCCAAAATAAGTACACACAAGGCAGCTATGCTCAAGGGCCAGTACAAGGACAAGAGTTCCCTTCCTCTCAACGCCATGAGGACACAGAAAAGACACACACCACCATACTACCTCCACCTCAATAGGCCCTACAGGGATGATGATCGAAACATTTAAAAATCCTTACAGGCTCAGGCACTGAGGTGTCTAAATGGAGATGCCCTACTATGTCCAGAGTTAACCCTTTAGTTGATGAATTATGAGGAGCAGGGACCTCAGGGCAGAGCCTGTTAACCAACTGCTCCATGCATATTTTAGTATTTTATCAATGAGGGCAGCCATAATGCCATGTACCTGGTTGAATATTGGCCATGCATCCAGATGGAATCTTTATGGAAGAAGAAGGAGAAAGAGGAAGCTATCTGAGAAAATGAGCGTGTGCTCAATGAGGATATTGAATTATTGGATTGAATCAAGATTTAAACCCTAAATAGTGAAGGACCACATTGATTATGGACAAACTAGAGAAATTACATTTTATTGGCACATCCAAGTTGCAGTATGAGTTGAATTTACCATCTGTCTGCTTTCTTTTGTGTTAGTTTCATTCTCAGGCAGAAGCTCCAAGCATCAGTAGTACCAAAGGGCAAGGATATCTTTCTTACTAGTGCCTGCAAAATCCCAGTCAGGCTCCAGTTGGCTCAGCTTTGGTAATGTACCCATCTCTAAACCAAACCCTGATTGGTCAAACCCAGGTCACATGACTATTCCTAGCCTCATGAACTGAAAGTAGAGTGAGGGGTGGCTCCTCTAAAGAAAATCAGGAGGCTGTGGGCAGAAAAATGGGGTAATGGATGTTGGACAGGCAGGCACAACAGAGGTACACCACTATTGCCTTCTGGAGTTTGACTTTCTAAAACATTGAGAAAGCACAGTATCTCCATGGCAGGAAATGAATTGGCACCTGGGCACTTATTCATACATTGATCAGTGTAGATAACTAACTTTGAAAATCATAAAGCAGATTTTTGTCCCCTCTTAAATTTTCTTCCCACAATGATTAAATTAATTTTAATAGTTAGAGTTGGGAAGTATAATCAACTAAATATCTAGTATAGTTTAAAGCTTAGTCCAGTCTATAAATAATTCCGTTTAGAAAATGTTCAGTCTCCCTCTTTATTAATGTGAAGACAACTATTTTACTTTTTCTCTGTGTATTATTTTCTCTTTTTTAAGAAACACCCTCTTGTTGGACATGGTGGCTCATACCTGTAATCTCAGCTACTCGAGAGGCTGAGGCAGGAGGATTGCTTGAGCCCAGGAGTTAGGGGCTGCAGTGAGCTATGATTGCATTACTGCACTCCAGTGACAGAGCAAGACTGTCTCCACAAAAAGAAAAAAATAGAACCAACTTCTCCTAAATCCAAGATAAACTGCACAATTAGTTTATTGCCTATTTTTTAAAAAAGCTTTTTATAGGCTGGGGGCAGTGGCTCATGCCTGTAATCCCAGCACTATGGGAGGCCAAGGCAGGTGGCTCACAAGGCCAGGAGTTCAAGACCATCCTCGCCAACATGGTGAAACCCCGTCTCTACTAAAAATACAAAAATTAGCTGGGTGTGTTGGCGCATGCCTGTAGTCCCAGCTACTCAGGAGGCTGAGGCAGGAGAATCACTTGAACCCAGGAGGCAGAGTTGTAGTGAGCTGACATCACACCACTGCACTCCAGCCTGGGTGACAGAGTGAGAC